TAGCGCTACGTAGCACTAGCTTCGTCTAAACACACCCACTTTTTCTTCGATGCTTAGCGCGTCCATCCTATAACTCGCAAATCGGTTTATACGACGGTTCAAATGAAATTGACGGGTCTTAGGTAGCGGACCCTAGTCGGTAAAACAGTTACCGAAATCGAGAAAGGGATATATAACTATTTACTTTCAACACATTCCCATTGGTCACCCTGTATATATGTATATATGTGTATAATAAATATATATGTATTTGTGTATACATACATATGTATGTGTAAATATGTTTCTCTCTGACGCTTCTGCTGAAATTGTACTAATAGTATTTCCAAGTTTTCTTGTCTCACAAAGCTTCAAAATCTTTTTTGAAGCACTCAAAATATTCGTCTATGGTTCTAGTTTGGGATAAAGGTATTTTTATTTGGATTTATATGGCCAATTTTAAATATAAAGTAAAAAATGTAGTTTCTGTAATAACAGTCTAAAAACTTTTTTTTGTTTTTCTTAAATTTTTAGGCTGTATCCCATTCTTTACTATATTTTCTTTATTTCTGGAGAAGCAGTTTTTATTCCGATTCATAGTTTTCACAAAAAATTCCAAATACGACATGAAGGTAAAACAGGACGGTTCAGCATCCTCTTAAGGGGATCTTAAAGTGAATCTATTTCATAGACTGAATTTACGGTGTATGGCGTCAGATCGTCGTAATAATTCTTTAATATAAAAAGTTGTGCAGTTTGTACGTAGAAAACCAACTGCGTCCCGTTTTTGGAACAACATAAAGAACAATATAAAGCTTTCAAAACTGTTTTTAGAAGATTAGTGTAAATAAATAATGTGCGTGAAATGATGAATAAATAGTGTGTGTATTCCAATATTGTTCTGAAAATATTCACGCACACTATTTATTCATATTAGGCTTCTAAACGCATTTCTGAGAGCTCTATATTGTTCTTTATGTTGTTCCGAAAACAGGACGCAGTTAATTTTCTACGTACTGCATAACTTTTTCTATATTAAGCGAATATTACTACAATCAGACGCCAAAAGCTGTAAACTCAATCGGTAAATCGACGAAATTCGACCGTCAGTTTAGGATCCACTTAATATTGCTCAATGAACTGCCCGACTCGCGTAACTGAGTCACGGTCGGAATACACATGAACTTGGCGCGAAACACTACCGTGTGTTCTTTCTCTTGCTAAACAACAGGACAAATATTAATTGACATACAATCAACTTCTCTACTTAAAAAAAAGAAATCTAACGTCAGCCACATATTATACTAAAAAATTGTTCGCCACTGTTATATTAAAATATTAAAAGCAAGAATAAACACACATAATGAATTTAAATAAAATTACGGTTTTTATTTTGTAGGAGCCGTATATATTTATTACAATATATTATAAAAATGTTTTGAATAAATATTGTTTATAGCACACCCCACATAACTTTTTAAGATGACATATGATACCAAGAATATTAGCCAGGAGTTAATTTTGTTTTTATTTTAATTGTCATGGATAAATCAGTAAAACTTTGTTACTATTCTTAATATTACTGACAATCTAAGTATTACTAAGTACTGAAAAGTTTAACAGTTGTTTTCTCAGTATTTTGCCACATTTCCATCTCGTTTTGCACCATTATCTGTTTCACCACTTGACGTCTTCTTCTGTAAACATTATACACATTGCAATAAACACTGCTTTGTAAATAAAATTAATCTAAACATTATACATATTGTTATAAATACTGCTATGTAAATAAAATAATACAAACCTCAAAATATTGATTAAAAAACAATGATTTAAAAACATTTTGCGTAACACTTTCAAAGCCTAAGAGTCTTTAATTGGTAATTTAAAACATATGCATTTACCTTTCTATAGTATCATTTTTTTAAAAGATACATAACATACACTACCTTCGATACATATAAAAAATACCAGTAGCAATTATGATAAACAATAATATTGGAAGTAACCACAATTCGTAAGCCATTGAATCTGAAACAATTCCTATGCAAATTCAGACAAGAATAATAATTTTATTTTTATCATCTTGCGTGAAATATACCTATTATAGTACACTGAATATAATACATAAAGAAAGTATGCCTATATGTATAAATACAAAACAATATTTTTTACATGAATCAGTTAGAACATACAGATGCAGGATGTGATTAGAAAATAGGAATGTGGGAGAGATCAAAGGAAAAAATTAATATGGTGACAAATATGAAGTAATTTGTGCACATAGTTAAATATAAAGTAATACTTAATATTACGTACACTTTTGTTGTGATTGTTTTGCAAAGTTGCAAAAATAATGCGGTGTACGTGTTTTACGCAAGCGTGTAAGGATCCATACACAAGAAAAAAAATATCGAGACTTACGTTCGCAATCAGTTTTTACAGTTTGCCAGTTGCTTTCCATTATTACATTTTCTGCAAGTAATGTGCATTTAACTGAATAAACAGAACCAGGATTTAAATGAGTAAAATATCCTATCAAATGTGTCATATTTTGTAACAGTCTATTCCATGATTGTGTAGAAGTGTAATTATTTTCTCCCTGTGAAAAAAAATAACAAAAAATTTATTTCATTTTTTTTCTTTCGATGTGTAGAACAATGGTTAAACTTATAAATCTTAAATTAAAAAACAAGGTTTTTGGTACTTCGATAATACAGTATCATCGAAAAACAACTACATCTTCGATTAGTATAAAAGAAATTCGGAAAAAAATTAGTATTTACCGTAAGAGTGAAGAAATACTTTATCGTTATTTGTTCGTATTCTTCTTTCCATACTATAGGAAGTTTAGTACGAATGCTTGTTAAAGTAACGGAAACAATTTCAGGTACTGTGAGCTTTCTTATGCCTTAAAAGATAATATAGCTCATTTGTTTGTTTAACAGCTAATATAAAATTGACAGAAGTTTCTGACAAATATAATCAATGTACTGTATCAGTAAAAGTCAGAAATTACCTATATGACACAAAGGTGGCACGTATTTTAATTCTGAGGTATCATTACATCCGCTTATACATTCTCCAGTTACTCTGTCACATATAAGAGTGTCAGTAGGTTTACAAAATCCACATTTTTTTATACAATTATATCCATACGAGTTCTCGGTACATACTGCAATTACATGTCATTATTATCAATATATATTACATGTGTTATATTAATATACAATGAAATTTTAAGTTACTTTTTTCAATGTACTTACCATTAGTACATGTATCGCCTTGAAATCCTGAAGAACATAAGCAACCAGTGGTGTAACAAATTGCAGTTCCTCTGCAATTAAAGGTACTGTTCAGATCATGTTTGCAGGAAAAGAAACATTCTGGCCCAATAGTTCCCCCATGACAAATTTTATCATCTGTGAGATGATCATAGGAATGCAATTATTTTGTATACAATGTATTATAGAATGGTATCGATTACGAGTACAACATTATTGTATTGTGCTATTTGAGAAATCATAATACAAAAGTTTGAAAGAATATTAGAATATACACTTGTACATGTACTAATTTTAATGTTAATAAATACCTAGATCCATACTATTTGTTGCTGTCGACAGAGAACTTACGACGGTATTTTCGTTGAAAAGTAATTTTTGGCATGTTACATTCAGCCACGGAATAAAATCATAGTATTGTTGTGTAAGAACTGTTTTTCTCAAAACTTCTAATAGAAAAATATATCCCATAAAAACAAATTTGTATAAAAAAATAGTAGTGACACTTTTTTTAGGAAGTTTAAGTATTTCACTTAATACATATTTTAATGTTACATATAAATATACAAAATCAAAACTGTATGCATATACATATTTCTACCTTTATTGGGACATTCACGAAGATCAGCTATTGCCCACAACGGATTGTCAGTAAACTTCGTGAGTTTGGGTATTACGCGGATTTTTACCGCACCAATAGTGTCTATTGAAAANTATCCATCAAATTTAACGAGTTGCCACATAGGTAAGCCATGAATCGCAGCATTTAATGAGCCTGTAGCTGTTACAGATTGTAATATTTTTAATCTTTTGGAATCAATCATCGCAACGTCTGCATCACATTCTGCACATAAGCCTAATAATAATTGTATGCATATCTTCTGAGTATTAGGTATATAATAACTAGTCGTTAAAACTGCATTCTTATCAACTGTATACAGGAAAGAGTCTGAAACGCAATATTAAAAGTTTTATCAAATCTTGAAAGTCAATAAGCAAGATATCATTGCAAGAAATAAAAAAAGCAGTTTAAGTATTACAGTGTATAATATCACATATTATAAAAAAATTTTTAATTCTTTTTACTTTTGAAGTTTTTTGCCAAAAAAAGACATTTTGTTCTTTATAGTTTATTTTGATTTTTATAGTATTTATTTTTGTGTGATTTGAGTAGAGAAAATTAGAACTTTGACAAAGTACATTACGTTCATAAATTGTTGTATTTTGAGCTATTTGCGATAAAGTATTCGGTACAATTTTTTTCTAGAAGCAAGCAAAATAGTGAGAATGATACACTTTTAACAAACAAAATCGTGTCTTTTTTAGATAAGAATTATGAACATGTAAAATTTTCAAAAAACAGTTTAATGCACGTTCAAGTACACATTGCAAGCTTGAAAATGTTGTTGAATATTTTTTAAACGATAATTTGCGGTCGAACTACAGTAATTTAAATAATGTCTAATGTGAAGCGATTGGAAAATGTTTCTTTATTTATAGGCTTAGTGTAAAATATAAAAAAGATAAAGGTATCGTTTTTATATTTTGCACTGTTTGATTAAATCATGTAACCACAAAAAATACTTTTTATACAAAGTAGTGATATGAGTAAATGTTTTTTAACTTTATTATCTTAAAAATAAATAATGTGAATCCACTTGAATGTGGAAAATGCTTAAAAATTTAAAATTGAGAAATGCGTGCAGACCAATAAAAGCATGAAAACACAGTTGACGTTGTAATATCGATGTTTTATTTAGTTACAGAAAAACAATGTTTTCACTATAGGATGTGATTGGTTTTAAATATGGATAAATATGACACAGCAATAGCAATAGTTTTTCAAATCACTCTTTTCTAAAATCACGGGAATGTGATTTATCAAGATCTTCTCTTGTGGTCTTTGTAATATAATACCACACACGTATACACAATATGTATAAATTATTATTTTGGGCTTTTTTAAACTTGTTTCGTCACGAATATGTCGTTAGATATTTGATGTGAATACCAGATACGTGGGTGGCAGACAAAACTTCTTCGAAAGAATCTATTTTCACTTGTCAGATCACAAATTTGTCGAACAGTGTTTTGGTTTGGTTAGAATAAATTACAGTACTTTAATACTTAAATAACCTTATTGTTTTGAATGAATATACTTACAGTAATGCAAGCGATACAACACTGTTTGACGTTTGTAATAATTTGATGTAGGAAAAGAAAATAAGACAACCTTTTTTTCTGAAGTTAAGTCAAACTGTTCTGCTTCAAATGTAAGCATTTCGTTATTAGTACCATAAACAGAAATATTTTTTTTCCAGAAATCCCATGAAATGACGAACGTTCGCCATTCAGTCGCAGATAATGACAAGCACTGAAATAATTGTGAATACTTTAGTTAAATATGCGTATGTAACTATCTTGTTTGTATCATGTTCTCCGAACTTTTATTATTTTCATGATTTTCTTTTTTAACAATGTCGTAAAAAAGTATTACATTTAATCACTTATATCTCAATTACAAGCATTTTTTTTTCATGTTTGATTAAACAATGTTTTGATAATGTAGAAAAAAACATGAGAACTGCATAACTAAGAAGCTATATTTTACATATATCTTACTCTTTCGCAAGTTCTGATGGAAGAAGAGCAACTTGGTTTGAGAAACTTAACATTCCATCTATCATGAACACGAAACATTTGAATAGAAACAAATTTGCAGAAACCAATGATGGAGTTTGTCTTGTATTTTAATATTATCCGAAAGCAATTTTTCCACACATTTTCAGCGGTAGACCATTCTCTGATCTTATCTATGGGACAGATAAAAATCTGTATGTCCTGCCGTGAACGAATTGAAATAGACGTCGCACCTGCCTTTGAAAAACCTTTCCAATAGAAAAACCTTTCCTGTTGGTCGTCTTCGTCAAAGTCTACGAATTGTAAGTATATATATAATTTCAAACAATAACATTAAATTTACACTTTACAAACATATAATGACGCAGTGATTTAAATATTTTGGATCATTAAGTGATAAAACTTTTGAGATATTGTAAATCTACCTTCCCATCGTTGATCAAATACCGGACCCATAAATGTTTTCACAGAATGCGTAAAACTCCACTTTTCTCGAGACCAAGATTCTAAACAGTTTGGTTCTATAAGGGGCAAACCTGGTGCACGTTTTGGCATTTTGCAGTTTATCCAAGTATTGTGTTTAAGTATATTCTGAGACTTTTCGATCCTTCCTTTAATACCACGCATGTCTAAAATAAGTCTCGAAAACAATATAATAATATATTAAGACTTAGTTACTACTTCAAATAAAAATATCACTTTTGAAATTTAAGTTGCAGTATAATTAATTTATACAGAATGTTCAAAACGTGTGTTTTAGCGTATACGAAAAAGTGAAACAATGTGTAAGGAAACTTTATTTTAAAAAGTTTAGGTATAAAACTATAAATGGTAATTTTGTATATGTTATAAGAACGGTATAACTTATGCTTACAAGAAACAGTTTCTTGCTCAAATAGGTTTATATCGTCATTTACTACCAATGCGCCGCCGTCGTCTTTTGACAGACATATATATTTTCTCTCACTTACATTTGAAATAATATGATATGATTCTCCACGTAAAAGAATTAGTTTTCCACAACTACGGAATATCTGAGCAGCAAAAAGTAAAACCCATAACATTCTTTGCATTGTCAATAAATATGTTTTACTTTCACAGTCGATCTTTATAAGTGGTAAAGAAAATTATCGGACAATAAGAATCGAATCAAAATAGTGAAAGTATTCAGATATTTTTTATCTACATATATACTTTCTACTATAAATTTTATATATACTTTTATTGTAACACATTAATAAAAACACAAGCACAGCAAATATTTACTAATAAACTTTGAAAAAAACATGATTTTTTTATGTTCAACTTGCACTTTTAATTGTGATAGTAAACAAAATTTTTTTATGTTGGTTTCACAAAGTAACCGCAGCGTGGATAGTGTATTTCACACGACGCGTCGCGACGTATATTTGTACAATAAATGTTTTACTATCACATGATTTATAAATTCAAAAATTAAATAAAAACTCATTAACAAAAATTATGTTAAATTATTTGACCAACGATAAGTCAAATGTATTTGCAAACTTCGCACTGTTACCGCGACACTTGGACTGTCATTGTAATAAGTTAAACACAGAATTTAGTGAAAAGGAAACCACACTTCCTTTTATGAATCCGCGATAAAAATTCTATATCTACTACATATAACTGACGCATTAGAACTCTTAGTGATAAGTCGACAATATTTATCGACAAATGTGCAGGGGATTTGGAATAATGTTTTAATCGTAGATTGGCACTAGATCCTTAAAAGATGTCAAAACCGTAAAATTTAATGACATCATACGGTACTTTTTATAAGTTTGAAAGTTTGCTTACAAGTAGTCTTAAATTTGTCTATAATTATAAGATGAACACATCTTAATAAAACACAAGCTTGATTGTTTTGTACTTTCTGATCTATTGCAATCCATTTTCCGAAATTTGTAAATCACATCATGAAAGCATCAAACATCATATATGGATGTAGTGTTGTTAAACACATTTATTATTCTAACACATGTACTAAGAAAGTATATATGAACAATTTATGATTATATAGATATAAGCACCGATTCAAATTGATATAACGATTATTAAACTTCTACTTAACGTCCATAATTTCATGACGTTTAATGAATATGTTTAATGAAGATTTGGTACGTGTAATGAAAAAGATAAAAACAATTGTTTTGCAGGTTTATTACGTATAATGATAAAAATTAGATGTTCCCGTATTATAACATGAACTGTATTTATATATACAAATACTATGATTTGAATATTTCCAACCGTAGAATCGCCTGCTTTTATATTTTGTTGTCAAATGTGAGATTAAAATATCAAACGACAATACGTATAAAGTACTCTAATCGTTGGACACATCATATTTATACAGTGATGGTATAAATAAAATTAATTAACACAAACAAAAAGATTTTTTCCTACTTTTTTCACATCACAGACCGATATATGCGGCTTGAGTATTTGTATTATTATATCTATTATGAACAAAAACATACAAGTTAAACATTTGGTTAATAATTACGTCATTAGAGTTTTTATAATGAAAGCACAATATGAAATATGTACTCGTAACCGATTGTTCTACATAAATCTATACAATTAATCTCGTAGTATAATGCAAAAATTGCTTTCACTTATATAATCAAGAGACGCGGTAGCGTCTCGACGCCAAGTACATAAAAGTATCCGCTAAATGAGTGTCACTGTCTGAATGAGTGTCACTGTCAAGACGCTGCCGTGTATATCTTATCTCGAGTTTTTACTCGGCGAATCTTTGACATAAAATATTTCGTTCAGGAAACCATTAATGAAAAAAATAACTTTACTTGTCTTAATAAATGTCATCCCAGACGGCACATGATATCATTTGATTGTAGAATGATATTGTTTCTACGTCATTTTCGTGATATCATGTGATATCACATTCCTGAAATATCACACAGATATTCTTCTAAGAATATTAGTACTGTTTTCTTTCAAGTATATCTCAAAGACATCGCTTAATGTATAGGAAATTTGAATGCAGTGTATTACACTCCCGTGATACTCTTATGATATTTTTGAAATATTTATTGATGATATCACAAATCTTTGCACAATATATTTTGCGCGAGTAATGAAAATCAATTCTCAAGTTGCAATGTATACATTGCACTGCAACATTTTTATTAAATAATAATTAAAATGTGTACAATAGCTCAAGAATAAGTAGATAAAAACAATTATAATTTAGTAAGAAGCAAGTAGTCTCGCGGACTGAGTGCAGGGGGTGCGGATATGGGCTTGCGGAGGTCTCGAGTTCAGATCTCACTTAGACCCGGTTTCACAATTCGCGGTTAACTCGAATTAACTGAAGTTCGACTTGCTGAGCTCGGTTTAACGCGTTCAATCTTCTTTGTCAAATCTTCGCTAACCAATCACAGTTCATGTTTAGGAAGAAAAGATGCGTTACGCCGAGTTCAGTAAGTTGG